TAAATAGTTTTGTATTTCAGTAAGATCTCAATAGTATTTTTCGTGTCTCTACAGATGTTGAGTTCTTCTCCTTTTATAGTTGATTCTAGGAGAAGATGTAATGTCTTTGTCTTAATGAGACAATTATGAGCAATAATGACATTAAAATAAACGATACACAATCATTTCTATTTAATTCAAATATTCTAACGTATTTGATACTTAATGCTGTATTTAGACTCTTTTACGTCATCAGATTCGTATCTTCAACTTCTTCCGATCTTCGGTCTTTAAATGACTCGAATAGGTACGAGACTCGTACCTATTTTAGTAACGGTCCACACCTATGTTGCTTTCCTTTCCCCGTATCTGTTGTCACTCGTGCTTCTTAACTGGCCATCATATTTTTGACCATTTGACCAGTTCTCGTGTCATGTCACGTCACCTTCAATGTAAATTCAGATTTTTTCCCAATACAAACCATTCTACACTTTTTAGTTGTAGTGTATGTCTTACCTTCACAACTTCATCTATGCCAAGTTTATAAATGTTGGGAGAATTCCGCAGTAAGCAAAGCGCACAAGAAATATGTTTAACAGAAATCTTCAAATCACTAATTTTCAAGCTTTGCAGCTTTAGTGGTAGAGCAAGTCTATCTGGCACAGGAACTGACCCTAAGTTCTGTAAAAAATAAGAAAAACACCTGAGATTTAGTTACTCTATTACAAATTAAAATACTGCAACTAAAAAACAAAGCAAGGCATTAATAGTCTTACCTTTAGGGATGACCCATCCAACCAAAGGTGCGTAATGCGTTTAAGTATTGGGTTCAAACTAAAACACTGAAATGTTACTGTATAGCTTCTCAGGATAGACAAGTTCACAAGCTTTGGAGAAGATATATAAACACGATCAACATCAACACAAAATCTTGACTCCAAGGTCTCAAGCAATGGCAGAAGAAGAATGTTTCTGTTCGATCCTACATGACCATCAAGAGCAGAATGTTCCAACTGAAGGCTAACAAGATTAGGGAATTGGGTATTCTGAGGCAGCTTAAAGATATGCCTTGAGAGCTTCAAATGTGTCAACGTTGAACAAGTGAATATGGTATAAGGCAATGCATACTTCTCATGGTTGGCCAAATCTAGAGTCAACTTCTGGATACCATGATTCGAGACAAAGATGATGCATTGATCCACATCTGACTGTGACAGTTCGTGTAACTTCGAGATTAGATGGAACCCTAGAATAGGTCCAATATGTTGCATGAGAATTTTATGGATTATGCTTGCAGGAGAAGCCCCAACAATATTAGATACATACCCGAAAAAGAGGGGACCAAACAAAAGGTGTGGCTGTGTAGACCATAACTTTCTCCATTGCTTCGATAAGATGCTAGTTCTAGCAACATATTTAATGGGCATAAGCTCAAGTATTCTGTGTAGTATGTTAGTTGGTAAGTCACTAATAATGGTAGATTTCCTCACATTTCTCGCTAAATCGCATTGACTCATACTTCTTCTCTGAAATATTTTACAATTCTATTTTATTGAACATCAAGTGAGGATCTACAAATAGTTGTTCTATTACAAGCAGAGCAATTAATGGACATTTTTCTTGGGTAACTCAAAGGGCTTTTTCTTGAACTTCCCAAGTCTGTTCATTCCAATTGAATTAATTTAAAAAATAAAAGCTGGAATTAATACTTGAAACATAGTGTGCAAATAAAGTAGGGTAAGAATGGAATCTGGACATCTATATATATANTTTATCCTATTTTTTACTACTTTCTACTATTTCTAAAAAATTCCAAAAGTTACCACCTCAGGCGATTATTAAGAGAGCAATTATGGTACTCTTACAAGTTACAATTCCAAACAAAAGTAACGCCCCTAAACAAGCAATTAAGTCCTACAAAAAGCAATCACTTCTGTACCGAAATTGAAGAAATCCTCAATTAATGTCTCTGAGAAATCAATCAGTTTCTCAAAAATTCTCAAAAAACCGCCATTGATTGTGTTTGTACCAAGACAATAAAGAATTCCTCAAATTTATTTGTTCTACTTTGTATGATTCTGTCTATGAAATAACTCTCTCTCTCTCTCTCTCTCTCATCTATGTTACTAATTCTTATATTTGATTTTTCAGGAGAACGATAGACTTTTTCTTCTAAGGGTTTTTGTACCTTCTGTGCTTCTCGATCGGTTCTTGCTGAAGATCAAATATGCTATATATGGTGACTGGCGGCTCAACAATTTCTAATACATCTGATCTTCTTTCTTCATTTTTTTTTCTCTTTTATCCAAGTCTTATTAATAACAAATTAGATTTTAAAATATAAAAATCGTGATTCACGTTCCTGGTATCATAGAAGTCCAATAAAGCAGAAAAGAATATCTTATTATAGGGTTCAAATAGATATTCTAACAATTAAATTCCTCACAGGGTAAGTACACAGTTTTTCAGTTCAGATTTCCTTCTTCGTCAGCCGTTGTTGGTTGAGCCGTGTCCACGAAAATGTCAATGTGACCGACAAAGTAAATGTAGTATCGATAAGAGTTTTCAATATTAATTCTATATTTTTTCCCAATTCTGAAATTACACAGATTGGGTTGCACACAAATAGACTCTTAGGTATACTGCCTTTTTTAATTTTCTTTTTCCTTTTTCACATTTCTTTCTTTGATTTCAATTTTTTTTAGACGTGTACATGAAAATATTGATCTCTGATTTAAGGGAGCATTTCACTAATTAAATAGTTTTCAAAATAAATTAATTCCTTTTAATATATAAGATAACAACCTTATTATCTTTTTCCATACTTTCTTATCGTTCTTCACTTGATAGCTTCGGGCTATTTGTACACCATGTCTTTTTATAATTTTGAATTTAAGAAAATGACCTTTTTAGATCTCTTATGTGTAAAAGAGAGATCTCTTACGTGTAAAATAAAATCTCCCATGTACAAAAAAGAGATAGTCAAAAAACTAAAACAAGTTTGTAAAGATCCAAAAAATCAATTGACCCTGATAGCTTCTTACATAATTTGATTGAGATATACTGTAAGTTTGTATTTATATAGATGTTATGTCTGAAAGTACAATTAGTAAATTGATCTTTCCATAGTTACTAATTTACTTAGTTAATTACTTCTTGATGGTATGGTTTGTTCTTCTGTTAGTTCAGTGCAAGAATGTCCAAGAATTATAAGGCTGATGTGTCTTTATAAATGAGAAGTATAATTGCATTCCTTTTTTGGTTCAATGTGAATGTCCAATAATTGCATTCACATATACTCTCTCTCATGCAAATTTCCATATTCTTGCTATGAGATTTTTATAAGTTAATGTTTTTTATTTAAAAATATGTAATTTCTTATTCTCTTTTTCTATAGGACAAGAAGCTCTTTGAAAAATACGAAATAGGAGATATTTCCAGCAATACACAAACTTTTGCAATACTTTATATGGGAGCTTTTAATTGGACCATGTCATTTCGTGCTATTTGTACATCATGGTTCTTTACATTAAAAGTAAATTTCTCATGTGTAAAAAAAAGATAGGGTCATAAAATTAAAAACAAATTTGTAAAAATCCAAAAAATCAATTGACCGAAGCTAAAGGATTGCAAACCATACTTGTGGCTTTTTATAAATTGTCAACCCAATGATCTTTTTATAAATTGTCAAGTGTGCACTAATACGATTACTATCACAAACTCCCGCTTGATTTGGATGCTTTTGCGTTGGATAAAAAATATTTTACATTCTTAACATCTCTTTATTGATGATCAATTTTCATAGGATGTTCTGGAAAGGTCTCATTGTGCTAGAATCTTAAGTGACAATTTTTAAACTAAGGGGACAAGAAATATTTAAAAAATGGCATCTTGAAAACAAGACAACAATGGGTAAGTTGAACAAGAAATTTTCACTTAAAATTCTCATGGAACTGAAGTGGGGTATTAATTTTTGTTGGAAATAAACCCCCATAGAAATAATATTCACGGTAATAAAAGCGGAATAATAAGGTAATACCGAGATATGGTAATTAACAAAATAAAAGAGTAAAATCGATATCAATATTTTTACGTGGAAAAACCCTTTTAATAAGGGAAAAAACCACGGCCCCAAGAGGAGCAACTGATATCACCATAGTAAGGAATTTTACACTTTGTAGGTCCGAGTAAAATACTCCAAAGACCACTACAACACTCAAAAGAAATAACCCTCATTTGATATTCCCACCTCACTACAATATCACTCACTCTCTATTTTTTCTCACAGACTATTTTCTTATACCCTGTCTGTGAAACCTCACTCTTTCTTTCTCTCTTTGTTGGTGTAATTCAAATGGCTCAGAAGCTCTCTATTTATAGAGATTCTGTACCCCTACAAATGTCATCAGTGATATCAAAAGAAAGGAAAAAAATTTCAAAGGATGACTTTTAAACAATTCAAAAACAACGGTGGCTGTCATTTTAGAAAAAGAAGACAACGGAAGAAAGTTGCCTTCCTTAATTTATGGGTTGGACCCCATAAATCTCCCCCTCCAGTTTCATTCACCTGAAGGAGGTAACACCGGAGGTTCTAGTTTGAGTGTATGCCAACAAGTTCTTTGCATAGCTCAAACTTGTCTCTTGGTACCACTTTGGTCAGCATATCCGAAGGATTCTCACTTGTATGGATCTTCTTTACCTGCATAGACGCATCCTCTATCCGTTCTCGAATCCAATGATATCACACGTCGATATATTTCGTCCTTGCATGATACATGGTGTTTTTGCTCAGGTCTATTGCACTTTGACTGTCACAATAGACGACATACTCCTTCTGATGCAATCCAAGCTCTTGAAGGAACCATTCGAGCCATACTATCTCTTTGCCAGCTTCAGTAGTGGCAATATACTCCGCTTTAGTTGTAGAGAGTGCGACACACTTCTGCAACCTCGACTGCCATGATATAGCTCCCCCTAAAAATGTAAACAAATATCCAGTAGTGGATTTTCTGTTATCAATGTCACCCGTCATATCAGCATCTGTATAACCCTTCAAGATTGGATTCGATACTCCAAAGTACAAACAATCTCCTATGGTACCTCTTAGGTACCAGAGTATCCACTTGACTGCTTCCCAATGTTCTTTTCCAGGATTTTCAAGAAACCTGCTTACAACACCAACTGTGTGAGCAATATCAGGTCTAGTACATACCATTGCATACATCAAGCTTCCGAGTGCTGAAGAATAAGGAACTCTATCCATGTTCCCTTTCTCCTCCTCTGTTGTAGGACACATCTTTTTGCTCAACTTTAGATGACTTGCAAGAGGTGTGCTGACTGGCTTAGCATTCTTCATGTTGAAGCGTTCTAGTACACGTTTAATGTACTTCTCCTAAGATAGCCACAACTTTCTACTTGTTCTCTCTCGAACTATCTTTATCCCTAGAATTTATTGTGTTGGGCCCAAGTCCTTCTATCAAATGACTTGGACAAATCTCTCTTCAACTTTGCGATCAGCCCCTTGTCTTTTCCTACAATTAACATGTCATCCACATACAATAATAATATGATAAAGTTATTCTCAGAAAATCTTTTGAAGTATACACATGGATCAGAATAGGTCTTTAAGTATGTTTGACTTTTCATTAATGAGTCAAACTTCACGTACCACTGCCTTAGTGCCTGATTCAATCCATAAAGACTCTTATTCAATTTGCACACCATGTGTTTCTTTCCACCTACTTCAAATCCTTCTGGCTGCTCCATATAAATCTCATCTTCCAAATTTCCATGAAGAAATGCAATTTTCACATCCAACTGCTCCACTCCAAGATCTAGGCTAGCTGCTAAGCTCAAAATTGTTCGAATAAAAGTCATTTTGACAACAGGTGAGAAAATTTCGTCAAAATCAATACCTTTTTTATATTCAAAGCCTTTAACCACCAATCGAGCTTTGTATCTGACCAGCTTGCCATTTCCATCTTTCTTGAGTTTAAAGACCCATTTGCATTTGAGTGGTCTTTTACCCTTTGGAAGTTCAAACAGCTTGTACGTGCCCTTTTTTGTAGAGATTCCATCTCTTCTTGCATGGCTTTCATCCACTGGTACTTTTCTGGATGGGACAACACCTCCTTAAGACTTTCTGGCTCCCCCTCATCACTGATGAGGACATACTCTATGGAAGGGTACCTGCATGACTCTACCCTTGGCCTATGTGATCTCCTCAGAGGTTGAGGTTGTTCTTCTTCCTAAGTGAGGTGCTCCACTTCCTCGACACCTTCATCAAGTTGCTCCCCCTGCTCAATAACCTCACCAGGTTGCTACCCCTGCTCGGCAACCTCGTTGATCGTACTTTCTGCACTTGTGGGATTGTTAGAAGTAGA